TCATCTCATCTCAAAGTCTTTATTTGCCTCCTGCTGATTGTACTTGGCAAACGGAGCTGACAGTTTGGATCATAGGTGTTTAGTCACAAGCACCATCAGAAAAGTTAGCGTCAGAGCGCTAACACATGCAGGACATGTTCTCACAAACAGTAAAGACATCTGTCTCCATCACTTTAAAGAGTCCATAAGTGTAGACCGACTTCATTAGTCTATGTGTGCGTTAGAGTTGTATTTGCTGCGGATAAAAACGACCACAAGACTGTTGACAACACAGTGTGAGTGTGTTGTTAGTAGCAAAAGTCAGACTCTGCAGTATTGGATTATATCATGTAACATGACTCAACAATGAGTACATGATACTTGTACTGTAAGCACATGTACTGTAGGTACTATTATAGCAAAGGCTTTTAACTAGGGATGGCTAGATCTGATACTGAAGATCAATATTGGTATCAGTCAATATTGATCAAAATTTCCGGATCAAACATTGGAAAAAAAACCCAATTATAGTCCATCGATCCAATACCTAAGCACAAATGCACAACTAAGCTTTGCGCGACATGTTGGGGGAGAAAAGAAGGTATCGGATTGATATTCGTATGGACAGATACTCCAAGTTTTTTAATGCTATTTGCTATAATGCTATGCTATTTACTATGCTAACCTAAGAGGAAGTTAAGGGTGCCATGTATGCAAAAATATTTCACAGTGACTTTTAAGGATTTGACAGCAGAAAAAAGTCTGTCACCTTGTGGACAAATTATAAAATATCGTTAGCTAATCTCTATTACATTGAATAGTCAACATAATGAATGTCTTGTTTTTTGATAAATTAGTCCTGATTTAAATCATTTGCTTTTCTTGAAAATTAGTTCTGCCTTTTTTGTTATTGATTTAACTAATTAGCTGTAATTATTTAATCAGTTCCACTTTTGGAAAGACTGGAACAAGATTAAAAAAAATTAAATATTCAGCTTCATCAATTATGAAATTGGGTCGCTTTAAAAAATGTTACACTCGCTGGCAATTACAAGCCAATTGTCCCGTTTTTTAAAAAAACCGAGCACAGCATCGCTGCCTTTTTGGCTCGGCGTCCTACTGAGAGCAAATGTTTTATTCATAAAACTGCTGCACACGGCCCAATAGAAGCGTCTTTATGTCTTCCCAAAGAAGGTTCGTAGGGAAAACCAGTTGAACGTATGTGGAAAATAAAGTCAGATAGCGCAGTTTGTTTAGAGCAGTAGAAGTAGTTCTGACATATTTCTGCCAAGGCTGCAGCTTTTTTATGGGACAAGGGAGATTGGAAAACCTGATTTAACAGCGTTAGGTTTAAAATGTCTGAAAGAGTAGAACAGGCTCACTGTGGAGTCGAGAAGATTGTTTTCTAGACAATGTTCCTTTGAACAGGAGTGCAAGTGAAATGAGGTCAAATCTAGTTTTGTTAAAGAAGCTGACGGCGAATCAGCAGCGGCTCACATCAGTGGTTCTCAAACTGTGGTACACGTACCACTGGTGCTCTCTAGTGGTACGCTGAGACAATTTTTTTTTCACATTTACATTTTCAATTGAATACATATGAAACATACCATGCACAATTAATACAATATTCAAACATAAACATTTTTACAAACATTTCTAAACATCTCCCCTGTGGTGGAAGGTAATAGTGAAGGCCTATGCTGCTGTATTCTAATGTTGGTCATCATGGTGGTACTCAGAGAGATCAAGGTTTTCTCAGGTGGTACAGAGTACCAGAGAACAGAGAAAAGACTTTTTTTTTCTTGTCCTGTTTTTTTTTTTTTTTGTCCTACTTTGTCCAACATTTTTATAGGTCCTTATTGAGTAAGAGGGTTTTATGAGGTTCATGATTTAGCTTGGAGTTGAGATGAAAAACCAGGTCAGTTTTGAGTTACGGTGAGTTAAGGATTTGTTGGAGACACCAACGGCACCTCACCTCTTTGTAGCTAGGACAACTGTTGAGAAATTACAATTAAATCACAATTCTCCAGATATTAAGGAGGGAACTGATGTTCACCAGACACAGTTATGACAACAAGGATCAATTTATTTGTCCCAGTGGTGCTCATCAATGCCTGGACCCACTGCACTCCCATACAATAACCCAGGATCCCTCAAGGGGGTCCAACCCCCACTTTGATATCCACCGCCTTCCTGTAATAGCCCAAGGAATGCATTACAGTATGTTTATAAGAAGTGCTCTCAACACACAAAACAATTTTTTTTTAACCCGTCAGTGATGTCGTCAGGACTTAGTTCCTTTCTATGCTGTGGACAAGGAGAATAGTAGCCTCTAGCAGTGCAGGCACACTGCTTTAATAGGTTTGGACAGAGGCTGTTGTATGACGTCGCTCCTTCCCCATTCGCAGCACCGACCCCGGAGACACGTGGCCAGTGTTCTTATAGATTTTACATCACTAAATCTGAATAGTCGGGTTGTTTTAAACTGATTTTCATTCACCCATGTGTAAGTGAAACTAACACCTCATCATCAGCATCAG